ATATTATTATAAAATGCCCAACGTGTCTCCCGCCCGCATACGTCATCGGCAGCAGCGGTCTTTTTTGCATTAATCACTCGAGTCGACGACGCCGCTGCCGTTTAATTTTGGGACGTCCGTCCCATTAGCGCAGCAACGACGGCAGCAATCCACTATTATAGCTGCTGCTGGTCGTGTTATCCGGGGTCGTCTTGTCAGGTCCGCGGGTGGCGAACACACCCCGCCGCACGCGCGTCGCCGAGAGAAAAATACGAAATAAAAATATATTAATAATATATACAATATTATATATTATTATGTTTCGATGCTTGTATAGACGGAGAAACGTGTGCGTGCCCGCCATAAATTGTGTCAACGCTCCACCCGGACGCGTTTCGTGCGCACACAAAAATATATATTAATCACGATCGTATGTCACTGCCAAATTGGCGGTCGTCCGGTCTATATAATTATTTTATATATATATATATATATATATTATAATATTATGTATTATATTTATGGGTACTTGCAAGCATTCTCAGTTCCTTTAAAGACTAGCTGCACACCGCACCCCGCACTCCACCGGATATTCGTTTTATTTTTTCGCACGTCTCTCTTTCTCTCCTCCGCACAATATTTTGATCGTACACCTCGCACTTGAGTGCACCGTGACGTTCGCATTTGTTGTTGTCTCCTTGTCACCAGTGCGTAACGTGGAAAATATACGTTTACCTTCGTTAATTTTCACAATAATAATATGTATTGACCTATTACGTACCACGCTTATAAAGGTGACAACATTGTCTGAGTTAGAATGAAAGAATTGTGTTGGTTATTGAAATTTTAGATCAAGCTATTGCTAATGTTATTGTTGTGTATACCAAATATGTGTAAGATATTAAATATAAAAATGCTAATATTTTGCTTGGAAAAAAAAACTTCAAAAAGCACCTTCATCGAAATATTGATAATGTTGCCTCCTTTAAGTTTGATCACAAGTCTATTCGTTTTAATGTTAAATATTTAAATCCGACAACGCCTAACGTGATACCTACTGAGTGGAATGAACGTAACCCCTACACTTTCAAACAATTTTGCTCCTAGTCATTTATCATTGTTCACAGTGCACCAAACATGTATATACTATTTTGTTTCTGTGTCGTAAAATCGCCTTCTATACCTACCACATGTGGTGTAAATTGTGACCTCTGTAATATGATTTTTACAACATGAAAATGTATTTTATAAACTACATATTATTTTATTTGATCAAAAAAGAATATGTACATAATTATTTTTGAAGATAAAATTTTTGACTATCTATATCTGTGTTGGTGATATAGAGTTATTATAGGATATAATTATATTAATAGAAATTATTTTATAAAAATAAAAAAATATAGATGTCTAAGTATAAAACTAATAATAAAAATACAATTAAGTAATACAATATAACACGCTACCACTTATATCAGGAAAAGATGCGTGTACATTATGATACACATATTACATATATAATCCCAAATATACGAAAGTATATCTTATACATATGTATATTATATTATACATATTATACATATTGCACACCAAAATTATTTTATATAAATCAATTATTATTAATCATCCTAACAAATAAATCCAACAATTCTTCCGACATACTATTCACCATCATAATATCGTTATCCTCGAATGCGTAAATGGCCAAGGAACCTATTATTAATGATGATTAAACGATATTCTGCACATTATAGGTAAAAATAAATAAATCATAGGACAAAAATATATTTGAATTAGTTTTAATCGACACCCGTCGAACCTTCTTATATTCACCTAGGTATACCTTATTTTATACGTATTGCTATAATTTATTGTATTTAGTGTGAATATAATAGGTATGTGCACAGAATATAAATACTGACTTTCTTAATAAAATTTAAATCAATCACATATCAGTAAAACGTGCATAAAATGAATCATGACGTCACTTTCAGCACAATAATATTATACAATATAAAATATCTTTGCGTTAGGCTTCGGAATTGCACAGAGCGTTTTTAACAACTACTATTATTTCATGATCGATCTTTCGTAGCGACAGGTTATTTTATTTTGTTCAGAACTTATACGCCTATTATAGAAACGAGTAAATCATTACACCGAGTACGTGCGAAACAGGTGGTCTCTCTCCCTGAGGCCGGATTGATAACTTAATGTACTACACATGTGTATAATTTATATAATATATATATACAAACCTCTCTAGAAACTGGAAATCCAATTGATCACCGGGTCGCGTTCCTGTGGTATACGAGGCTGCTTCCGGGCCCAGAACACGTGCGGCGGTGTTGGAAAACGAAATGGGATAGTTTCGCAAATATATTATTATGTATGTATATATTTTATATATTATACGAAGCGATCGATGCCTGGCTATTATATACACCACTATGCGGAAACTAAATAGGTCTAAATATCATATATCACATTCCAATATGCCGTACGCCTATATATTAGCATTTAACTCCCGTATAATATACATGATATTATATAGAAAAGCGTTGAAAATTACTGTTGACCGTTGCTGTTGCGCGAAATAAAGGGGTCTATTCCAATTTCCAAAGTATATAAATAATAAACATCATCCGCATAATATAATAATGTATATTCAAAATTGTCATATGATAATATTAGTACCTATACCTATAAGTCACCACAAAAGATTTATACGCATAGGAGGCATATAACTACGATTTAACCACCCTAGTCCGCTGACGTCCAATTTATAGGCAATTTAGTAATTTTTTTCTGCTAGTTTAAGTTAAGTTAAGTATAGAAACTAACTAGGTAAGTTAAAATTTTGGAAACTACTTAACATTCTTACAGTTTCTATGATAATGTAACTTAACTTCAACTGGCTGAAAAAATAAATAAATTGCCTATAATAGCTCTAAAGTCCATGGACTACGCGCGGTGGTTAGTTGGTAAAAATAATAACTTGAATAAGAAATTAGTTTTTTTTATAGCATAAAATACAAATCTACTATCCCGTTTATACAATTGCAAAGTATTACACTACATAATAATTAGGTACACACTTAACTTCTAACTACTTATATTTATATAGATTATAACCATGGTTTGAACTGTATGCATTACAAGAAAAATAAGGGATCGATAAAAATAATAATATATATCATTCATCACAAAATACTAAATATGAATTATTAATTATTATCCAGTCAGCAAATCCACAGTTATACTTTTTTACGAAACAATAAGATTTTTGCAGTAAAAAAGAATCTACCAAAATAACTAAAGTTAAAAAAATTTTTTTTTTTAATTCCCAAAACAGCAATTGGATGCATACATACTCGTATATAGTATATAAATATAATTGTTATGCATCATCGATATATGGTATACCATTTAGATCGATTGGAGGTTTGAGTTAATATTAATCATTGAATTATGTCATATAATATTCAATAACCTGCAGCTAGGTATATGGTTAAATATTATAACATATAATTTATTATACTACAAGAATAGAACTTTGTTGCACTAACAATGCATCAAAATTGCATTAGCTATAAATTTACAATAATTGCGTTAAAAATCAAACATTTATTTAACATAATGTCATAATGTATTCAAAGTTTCACTTATTTAATTTACGCCATTGAACTCTAAAATGTTTGTGAAGTTGTAGAGAACTTTAAGTTTTCAAATACTTTAAATGTGAGTAAAACAATTTCACTGGCTCTGTAATGACGTCTATTACTACATTTGCCACATAGCATTATTCGACGTCACGGAGTTCGTTATTTCATACAAAAATCAAAATTACATTATCTTTCATCTTAAATGCATATCTTTTGTCGTTTTATCATAATAATATAGTTATATAAAAACCAATGGACACACCTATTGCAAAAAGTTTCAAAATTGAATATTTAATTTTAAAAAAACTTAGGAATTAACGGTTTGATGACCTTCAGTGAGTTTTGAGTATATCTAATCATTAAGCAGTTCACTGTAAATTATTGTAATATATAAATAATTGTATTTTTATATACTCTTATAAATAAAAATTTTGGTTTTTATGAACCTTTGACACATTGAAATTTCTATAAGATCAACTTATGAAAATTCTTGCCTATTCAATTTTCGGGCTTTTTAACCAAGAAAAAAATATTTAATCAAAGTAAATCAAAACATAGTATATTGTAAGTACAAATATTTCGAATGTTTTAAAAAAACTATCTCAAAAGGACCCAAAATATTTATTTTTATTTTTATACATCATATCTCAAATAATAATAATTAGGTACCTTGGTAAACAATTTTACAGTGGTTACCTTGAATATATTACATAATAATTATTAAATAATAGAAACTAATTGATTTTGTGAAAAACCATGCACAATTTGTAATTATTATTATTTTCCCAGTTATTAAAAAAAATTACTGTGAATTTGCGCTTTTCACCAGAGTAAAAACTAGATCAAATTTTCTACCAGAATCCACCCTCAACTTTGAAGATTGGAGCGAATTAATAACATTAAGAAAAATATACACTCCCATAGTCACTCATAGTCACTCATAGTCTAAAATAATTATACAAATTGCATAATATATAAAATATAAACATCACACGATAATAATGCAACCAAAACGTTTTTAATAAAACTATAATATGATTGTATTTTAAACTCTATAATAGTAGGTATTTATTATGATTTATGTTCCTTTCGTGAAACACGATTATAACTTACTCTCATTATATTATACATGGGTAGCAATTGTATTAATCACACCGCGATGGTGCTATGAATAAAAATCGTAAATGCAAATAATAAGTGCCGATCAATAAATTAGTATGATGAATGCTGAGAGGTATCGTCAGAATATATAACATGACGTAATAGGTATGTGGCACAATTATATTATTATTATTATTATTATTATACCATTGTATTTAAAAGATTATTTTTTGTACTGTATACAAATAAAACCAGCTACAAAATATTATACGTTGGGGAGCTGTACGTCTCCACCAACGACACGGTGACCGTAAGCATTTTCTGGTGCGACTCTTGAGTTGCGGTGTACGTGTAATGAAAACGATCTGAAGGATTGATGTTTTGCATGGACAGTAGCGAGTTGATGTCCTTGTGCCAGCGACGTTGAGGCTTCACGCTGAACATAAAGTATCCGTTGAAAATCTTTTTTATGGTTTCCGCCTGCCTCCTGAGTGCAAACATTTTCAAACAAACCCATTGTTATACACAATATTATAAATATAATACGCAAACTATGTGTTAAAATACCTATAGTATAGAGGTATATTATTGAGTTACTCGGCCGAGCTAAAGACGTATCATTGTATTTTTTTAAAAACGCACAGATCTAATATTATCGTTATTATTATATTAACATGCCATCAACATATCATTATTATAAAATATTGTATTATATTAATATTCTATCGACGTCACCGCCACCGCCGCACCGCGATCGGTCGTAAAAGACGATTTTATGTCGACCGGTTTGTCGTTGGACCGTATCGATATATTACATATTATAATGTGTTACGTTACGGACGAGCACAATATAATAAATATTTATATTTATGTTCAATATTATTAAGCTACGCGTTATTGACGTCCTAAGCGCCAGGTTGACGCTTCGCGCACATCTATGCCTAAAATGATAATATGTTTTCCGTCTGTATAAGGTACACTATCATAATAATATAATATGTATAGTATAGATATACCTATAAGGCTATAACACTCTACGTGCCGCCTATGCGTCTTCTCGATACGTATTATAGTTGTACGTTATGTATAATATTATAAGGTGCGCATATTATTATTATGACCTTTATTTTATGGGACTCGTGCGGCGGCGCCGAGTGTTCATTAACATAATATGGTTTACGGATAGGTATAATATATTATATTTATGGCGGCGTTTTATCGTCGCAGCATATCGCGTATAACTATTATAATAATATAATAATATTATGGCCCCACCTCTAAAATATTATCCTACTTACACCGTCGAATGTGTGTTTATATACCAACGATAAATTATCAATATATAATACATAATATATATGTATAATAATGTATAGCCAAATATAAAGCAAATATTCACTGCCTGTTGGAGACGGTTGTGTAGTACCGTAACTATAGCGATATAATATTGTACTCGATACACAAAACACGGTGCTATAATATTATACTGGTGTATCTCTGTTATAATGTATAGGTACCTCAGTTCACCGCGGGCCAATCGGTATCGGTGTAACTCGCTTTTTTTTTAAAACTAATCGACCGAAATGGGCAATCTATCTGCGGTGGCAGATTAGACATGGCACTTGGTATGTTTTCCAACGTGCAGCGGTTCAAAGTTCAAACCACTCTCCAAACTTTCGTGATATCTCTTAAGCCGGGTATACATATACAACCGTGCATCGGGTCCCACGAATTAATGTATAGCCCTCCTGATTGGCCGAAACATATTTTGTTTGATAAAGCAGATATTACAACAGACTTATTAATATATGGACTGCGCGTCCCCCATTCCCTACTATTGGTCGCCAAGTGCAAACATTGTTAGAAATAATTGGGTCAATACCTCAGGAATACCTATGATGGGTCCTAACTACCTAGGTTTTATGCTATCTTGTTCTTACAATGTTGGCCCCCGGGCCTCTCTCTCTGCTATCAAAAATGTTCGGTTGTATTCGACTTGTCAACTTGTGTAGTTATAAATGTATAGTAATGGTTACCATAGTATAGTTACCAGATGGACGTACTTATTTTTATCACAGCTGTGTAAGTTACATATTATTATAGTGTAACGGTACATGGTTCACGAATCATGGTAATATGGAAACCCGGCTTTATAAAACAATCTCTGAAACTCGGCTAGGTTAGAGCTGTGAGCTTGTCTATAACTGTGATATTATAGTCAACCACGGTGGACTTACTTGGCCGGTAACTGGAACGTGGCGCAGTTGAGGTCAGGGCTGATCCGCGGGAGCGGGCCGTGATCCGTATCGTAGTGGTTGGTTATGGTGTCCACGCGGGCCACGTACCCGCAGTTCTTCATCGGGCACGTGAACAAGTTCCTCATGCAACCCGTCCGGTAGTGGTCACGGAGTTCCTCGACTGTGTACCACTCATTCGCGCAGTCCACTTGTCCGGGGACGGGTGACCCGCTGTCCATCATGCCATTCGCGCGGTACTTACACCTCAACTTCATCGCGGACACCAGCCAGTCCAACGTCGTGTTCGACCTTTTGAGGAATCGGCAACCACACGCGCACCGCGACTGGTACTTGGTGCACGCGGGACAGGCCACGTGAGCCTCCACGCACAACTGGTACGGTGGCAACGACTGCCCGCCACACGTGTAGCACGCCACCAACCGTTCGATTTCCGGACACAAGGCGTCCATGATGTGCAGTTGTCGACCAAGTCTCTGTTGCTATAAATGTTGATGATAATCCGCGCCGCCTGTGTATTCGTTGACGCGGACTCTATAATAGGTGTATTATATTATTTTATTAAATATACGCGATTAATGCTTCGGCATACAACGTGAAGTTCAACATTTATATTTCCACCAATTACCTATAATATAACCTATAATATGTAATATGATTGAATAATAACACAACTAAATGAATAACAAACGCGTGCAGGGTTTCCAACGTTACCGCATACCACGATTACTGCGTATACGTATAAAATAATAAATCCCCCACCCCCCAGATTTTGGTCGCATCGATCCGGCTCACTCTCAATTTGACGGACAAAGTTTGAACTGGTATATAGAGGAATAAAAAGAAGCCTTTAAGCTATTACTACATAGGTACATAATACAACTATACGAATATACATAATACATATAATATTATATGCAAAACAGAAATTCGTATACAAGTACTAGCTGTAGGTATTGTAAAACAAATATTGTTATCGAACCTAATTCCTTTTGTAAGAAAGCTGTGCAAAGATAAAAACAAGCAACTCGCAACTGCATTAAATTTACAATCGTGATACGGCTATAACGTAATAATTATTACTTTTATGCATATTATTATTGTCATCTATATGAAACCGATAGCAAATTAGCATTTTGTTAAAAATTGATTTGAAAAAGTGGGTTTCTTGTCAGAACAATTTTTTTCAAATCCTTGTTATTGACAGATAACAATTTTAAAAACTATCCTGAGTATTTATAATATTCTATTGAGCAATACAATTTTGCACTCGCCCTTCAGTGAAATTCTACTCACAATAATAATATATTAATATTACATGGTTCGTTTGATTTATTCATTGAAACTATATACCAATTCACACTCAGGGCTCCGATAACAATTATAACGGGTTAATATTTATACATAGGTACTAAATTGTGTCTTTGGCTTTATTAATTATTATCATTTATAAATTATAAGTCACATAAAGGTAACGTTACCTAACCTTATTTTTAGAACTTGAATACTTTTTTAAATTATTGTATTTATTTTAATATTTACAATTTTAAAGTACAAAATATTAACATAGGTAGGTACTTATAAACATATTGCTTTTTTTTAATAAGATAATTTAATACTAGTAGTATAAAAAGGTTGCTAAAGTATTAATTGTATCAAAATATATTTTGAGTAAAATGTGTAAAAAGTTAGTACCTATGAGTGAAACCTAGTCAATAACTATTATTTTAACTATTTAAATGTATCCCAAAATAATTGAAAATATTATCTGAATTAATCATTTCAACATAGGTACTATAGTAAAATCCCAAATGATATTTTAGCAAATTATGGCTTAAAAATGTTACCATCACAAGAAAGAATTACATATTTAATACAAGTATAATGCTATTGGTTGTTATGAATTCCACATATTAATATTTAATACACCTACGTTTCCATTTTGCTTGCATATATATAACGTAATACGTATGGATATATTCAATAAATATAAATAGTACTCACTTAAGTTATTGCACGTCGAGGGATTTGGCTGAAATGTTTCCTCGTCACCAGTCCTTTTTGTTATCGTCGTCGTTCTCGTCTTAGACTTAACTCAAATACAGTGGTTGGTGAGCGGTGTACAACTGATATTTAATATCTTGCTATCGACTGTATTAAGCGATTGGAAATGCCCTTCCACGACGATAACCTACACACACACAATATTATGTGTATTAGTTCTATCAATTTGAATTAGATGTCTTTCCATCAATAGGCTAACTGCAACGTCGTTACGATCATAGTAGTAATAAAGGTGTAATGTTATAGAAATTTTCGATTCAGCATTAGAAACGAGTATATAATATACTATGTACCAGGTATAAGCTATAGGACTGAACATGACACTCATTCGCACTAAGGTGTGAAATGATCGAACACAGTAGGTATACACGCATATACCTAACTATAATAAAATATCCCATTAACTGCTAACGAGCTGTTTTACAGTATTCAGAACGATTATGTGTGGTTATGAATTTACAATGTATACGTCTTATATACATAAAAAGTCGATTATTATTCGATTAATCGGTTGTTAATACTTATAAGAAATGATCTAAGAAACCAATTAATCGATGTAAAAGTTGATCAGTTGAAATACTCGAACAGGTATATATATTATGAATATGTGTATTCATCTACATAAATGTATTATAATATATTATATATCATATTATATCCGATTGTTAAATATACAGTAGTATATGAATTTACATATTGATCATTGTGTATACTGTATATATATTGTCTTTATGCAATATGCATGTGTGCTGTTTATGGATATCGGGTTATTGATGATTTAGAGTTTGTGAAATATTGAAATATTTTACTGGTTTAATATTATACTATTATGTATGTATGCAGTGGTGTGAGTATATATATTATATGTATATATGAATTTATGTATGCCGTATGTCTCGCAGTGACGTATAGTGAAGGCGGTCATCTTATTTCAATACATGTGTGTTTGATTATTAAATATCAGTTTATAGTATATCAGTAATATTAAATTGTTGTCATTGGTTAAAAAAATAAAATAGTTATTATGATTGGACATAACTTTAAACCTGTATTTTCTATTTGATCAAAACCACCCAAATAACTGTGCAACTGCGTTAAAAAACTGTGCAGCTTTCGTTTACGGCGGGCAACGCCGGTAGATTATACATTAAAAATGTATTGAAATAATATTAGGCAGGTACATCGGTATATAAATAAATAAATATTAAACATCTCATTCGACTAACACCTTATTCATTTTGGTATACTATTAAATAATATATTATATTCTGCTTTCGATCCAAATGACGTCCCGCCGTTCGGAGCGCCAACTGTAGCGAGGTCTGTACAATATTGTAATGTAATAATGTAAAATAATATGTCATAGTGCAGACTCCAGTCGGTGGCGGGCGGCAACAAAGTTATAATATTAATATGTATTTTTTCTGACGTGACGTCGCCAAAACGATATTCGTTGGGACCTATAATATAAAATATATGCTCGAAAACCGGAGAACCCGCCACGCGCCATATAATATAATATTTTTTCGGCGCCGTCTCGGTGAGTATGGCCTCAGATCGAGACTCGTCTAAATATTAATATTGTATGTCGTACAAAAACATTACCTATATACTGCACGGTATGGCGGACACGCGGCGCTTTCGGTGGAAAAAAAAAATAATAACGCTTTCCAGATGGCCGTTGAAGTGTATCGAGCGTATAGTATATAATATTATGATTATGTCACGATAAGATTCGGGCCAGGCCGATTTACGGTTGTCTCGTCTTCGGATAGACGCCAAACCTTATAACGTAATATTACTATGCGTCTATGCGTACACATGCGCATAAAACAGATATAACCCCGCCGGGTGGACACTGGTGTAATAATAATATAATATAATATGTATAATATGGGTGTATATACGGGGTGCTCGCGGAAGCGAAAATAAGGTCTGTATAATATTATTATTATTACCATTATAACGGCCTAACGCCCGCGCTGCTTGAACTTTACACGCCCGTCGGGGCCAAAGGTACTACCTATATATAAAGTATATAAGTGCAATATATATATACATATAAATCGACCGTTGGTGTGTACTTCTTATATGTGTGTATAATAATATATACGACTGCCCTTTACAAACCGTGTGTCCTAAAAGGGTTAACCCGAACTGCTATAAAGGAAAGTAAATACCATTTTTTTTTTTTTTATACGTCCACGACGTTAAATCCTATATCCTTCGTCCCCGGGGTCCTTCTTCCCGGTCGCGGCTACTATACTATTATTATACGCACATTATCTTATTACACGCGCTGCAGTCGTCGTCCCACTGTTACATATATTGTCGTCGAGCACTAAACAGCAATGTGAATTATTAATATATATATATATATAGGTACATACCACGCTACTGATGCGTACTGTACCATAATAAACCCTGCATGTGCATGTGCATGTGCATGTGTCATGTGCATGACGATCGTCGACTTGAGAAGTCCTGAAACGAAAAAGAAGAAAAAAAATCTGAACCCATAAACACTGCAAACCAACCCTATCCTCGCTCCGCGGGTGTCCGCCACCGTCTCCGTATTTTGTCACATTATCGCCGCTGCACATCCGCATACAATATATCGTAATATAATGCATAACATAATATATTACATACTATGGGTAGCCATAATGCGTGTTCGACTTGACATTGAAACGTGGTCAATGTCGCACTTAACGTGACCATGAGATACATACGCATATATATACGTATTATTATTGTTGTGTGTGTGCGTTGTGTGCATTATAGTATAATATATTTCCATTGTGTGCGCTCGTCTTGACGGCCGGAGAAGCATGAGAAAAAACGTTCGGTCGAGTTTTTGTTGCGACTCGGGGAAAAAAAAATACGGCCGAAAACCGTATGGTTTCCGCGTTCGATAAAATACACACAATAATATTATACACGATAACATAATAATATATGGCCCGAGACGCGTTACAATAATAATAATAATATTATACATAAATATATATTATTTAGACGTCGGTACACTATTACATATATATATATATATAAGTACAGTTAGTTAGTAGCTATATATCGCGTATCGGTAGGGGCGTAAAAAAAAAATAATAGCAAGAGTACACGTTTATAAGTATATATAACCATAGCGTGACTAATCCGAACGTTTCGAAAATAGTAAGTGATGTCTCGTACATATTATAATAATAGCAATAATAACATAGTATTACATTGTATAGGTAGGTATATAAATGCGCTCATCGGGTATATAGGTATACGCGGAAACAACGCTCGGGGGCGCTAACGATTCGTGGAGGGGGGGGAGGAGGTGAAAAAAAAAAACTAAACGTTTCCCAGTACCTATGTATAGTTTTTATCGACGGAAAGA